CTTTTGGGCCCCATCTGGGTTGGAGCGGGCCGGCGGTCCGATGTGCGGCGGTGTGGCTCTCTGGTGGTGGTGGCGAGGCATCGGGGGGTGCGGGTGGTTACGGCTTTGTTAGCCGACGTGCTGCAGTGTGGCAACAGGGGCTGACCTGACCCATTTGGGCTCGGTCGGGTCAGTAGGGGCCTGGTAGGCCCCTGTCGTCACGTCTGGTCGGCTTCGCGGCAGCGACGAAGGTTGTCCCCTCTCATCGGCTGAGTTGCGGATGCCCCCGAGCCCCTTGGCCCTCTTCCCTCCTCCAGATCTCGTGTCGGTGGCCTCAGGAGACGACGAAGTTGGTTCAGTGAACGTGGTGGCAAAGGCTGGTGGGCGGCAGGTTGGTTGGTATACTTCAGATCGTCCGGGGTGGTGGTGGTTGTGTTTGGGTTGGTGAAATCCCTGGCGGCTCGTCCAACATCGACGTGGTGCAGCCTGCAGGCGCCGCCGAACCTCCCTAAAGGTCGTCGGGTATACGCCTTCCCCACTATCCTCTACGTTGTCAATAGTCAAAGACGGTCTTGAGAAACGTACTAGACCCTGTATAGATGGAAGGAGGGAGTATATAAAATTTGACATGCAACAAATACAAATTTTTAAAAGTCCGTGGCAACGCACGGACAGTCTACTAGTTGTTGTAATGAAACAGTAACAGGGGGAAATATCTGGATCCAGTGGAGCTGTATCTTCGGTTCCTTTCGTCGCCATCGGGTTGTGATTCTCTGGTGCGCGAACGGATTCCTTCAGCTTCTGATGTATGTTTTGTTTGCGAAACAAGAATCAATTGTTGGTCGACTATCTCCCTCCAACAAGTGTCCCTGTAAAAATACGAGCCCTTTATATTTGTTTTCAGGGGAGACGAGAGAGTTCCTTGCAGGCGCCGCTACGAACTGCTCCTACACGGGCTTGGGCTTTGGTATGCTTATATGTAACGATGCGCGCACAAACTCCCTATGAATTCGCTTCGTGATCGAAGTCCCCGTTCTTTTCTTTTTTTCAAAACGGAGGCAAAAATTTTGCCTCCTCGATTACTTAAGAACAAGAGAATTGCCCAATTAATTTAAGGAAAACCAGGCGAAAACCTACACAAATAGAGCATGGACCTACGACACCTGAGGCGACTCGGGGGCCAACCCTAGCGCCGCTGCCGTGTTTTCCCCCTCTCCTTCCCTTCCTCCGCCGCTGCCTGAGGGCCTCCGAGGCGCGGTGCTCGGCCCCAATGATGGTGGCGGCGGGATCTGGCGCCTCCTCTCCTTTGGAGGGCCTTGGTTCCCCGGGGCGGCGGCCCCGGCCGGTGGGCGCGGTGCAGCCGGCGGGCTGCGCCGACGGGTTCTGGTGGGCAGCCTCCCATGGCCGCGCGGGCGGCGTGGGGGCTGCGGACGCTGGCGCAGTGGCGGCTTCTCGCAATCCGTTATGGCTTCATGTAGAAGATCCGCCCCTGCTCCGATCTGTCCTGATCCGTGCTGGCACTGGTCCTTGGCGGCTGCTTTCGGCGTTCCCTATTGCCGGCCTGGCGGATCTGGCGTGCGGGTGAGGGTCCGGGGGAAACCCCTGGCTGGCGCGGCGGCCTCCCCAAAGTCGACGCCTTTGGCGCCGATCCCCTTCCCGGAGGCTTTGGGGTGGATCCTCTCCCTTCCGCCTCCTCCTCGAGCTATGGCGAAAGCCTTTATTCCCCTGTTCTGGGCGTCGATGGCACTCTGGTGTCGTGTTCCTTCTTGAAGGCGGCGGCTGGGAACAGATCTTGGTGGCGGGGCTGCTGGTGATGGGGTGGCGGTGCGACTTCGGCCTTCTACTTGGTGCTGCACCTTGCTTCGCGGGACCAGCGGACGGTTTCTTTGGTGGAGCGGTGCTTCATCCATCCATTGATGGCGACGGATCTTCACGGCGTGGCGCAGTGCAGATTCGGAGTGCGATGTGGGAGGATGGACTCGCGCAGGAGGACGACGCTGTCTGGCATCGTGGTGGCGTCGATGGCAGATAGACCTGTCATGGTAGATGCAACAGTACAACTCTGAAGATGGACTCGTGACAGGTGGCTGCGGCGGCCTCATACCCGGCAGATGTCCTGGTTGATGAGTGCGTCAGACTGATAGGTGTCCCATACCAGGCAGGCGTCCTGGTTGGGAACTCAGGTCTTAGATGTTTAGGTTTGGCTGCGATGTCTGTTTGGTATTAGGCCCAGACTATCAGCGCCCCTTCATCAATTGGATAGGTGTAGCGACAGCTGTTGCTTAGAAGGTGGCTTTAGTCTTGCTGTTGTATGACTTTGTAAGGTCTTGTGAGAATAATTAATAAAATGACCGTATGCATCGCCCAGATGCAGAGGCCGGGGGTCATCCTCCTTTTCTAAAAAAAAACAAATAGAGAACGGACTAACTACTCACATGGCAAGAAATCCCCCAACCGCACAGTCGGCCTTGCCAAACTCTCCGAATGCACAACATCCACAAACCCACTACTACTACGCCAAGTGGATCTCAACAAGAACATCACGACACAAGACATCATACACCTCCCAATCCAAGAGGACAAGCCGAGAGACCGAAGATCATCCATCAAGCAACCAGAGACGCCTTGCCTATGACGCCACTCTTGCCTTTGCCCATCTTCTTTTGCTTGCTCTTTATTGGCGTTCCCATCAGGAGGCAAGCAATCGACCTGCCCAAACCAAGTCTAGCC